TTTCCTCAAATGTCTGTACTGGCCCTGTTCTTAAAACAGTGGTTTAGGGTAGCGAACACTGACTGAGTAGAAGTAGTCATGAGTGTTTGTACTGCATAATACCTGTGTGTGATATCACTTGCCATGAATTTCTATGCTTTAAATATTAACATTCTTTCTAGAAGCACTAATATTAATAAATGAGGTGTGACAGAAATACGATTCCCTCTCTACGATGCCTGCCTCTATCTGATGATAGGCATGAAATGATACCCAGTACATGGTCTTGTTATTACTGGCTTACTTATGTTTTTAATTAATAAGTATATTATTTGTTTTACTGCTTAAAGTACAAAGAGTTGTGTTATTGCTAGTGTGCAGATTAAAAAGGAAAAGAAAACTGGGAGCAGGAATAGTTATCAGTCCAACAAGAGGTCCTTGTACGTGAAAAAAAAGTGCCTTCCATCAGATTTCAGTGTTCTCAAAACTACATTAAATGACTGATGGCAAAACTAATACAGGAATCTAAGATTCTTTTGCAGCATTGGTTTCATCTGAGCAGGAAGAATATTTAGTGTACACTCTGCTCCCTTTGCTGACCTGGTGCACAAACTTTGCTCTTCTTCACATGCTTATGCTAACAGCTTCAGAATGTTATTCACACATGCGGGAAATGAAGATACTTAATAGAGTTTTAATTTTTTTTTTTTTTAATTGCAAAATGATGATTGATTAGAGAAAAATGTAACGCCAAAACATAAGACCCATCTGTTCTGTAAACCTTTTGGGTGCTGCCCATACTAAACATCATGGTTTTCTGCTGATCTCACAAATAAGGCTTTACACTTAGGGTCCAAAGAGGCCAAACTTTCACCACAGATTTCTCCTGTAAAGGGCTTACAACCCATTTGTATAGATAACATAGAAAGGAAGAAGAACAGATAGAAGAAGAAAAGAAAATGGAAGGTGAGTGTTGGTCCACCAGTAATTGTATGACAGTTGTACATGGAGTTAGTCCTTATGGACATGTTATATCTAAAGCCATGATAAATATTTTGAAATCCGAGGAATTATTCATTTTGCTTACTACCACCTAAAATATTGTCATCTAGCCTTTCAACCTCATAAACATCATGTGCATGACTGTTCCTAGGATTTTTGGCAGCAAATGTTGGAAATAAGGTTTGATGAGATATAATATTCAAATGGTTGCTTAGTTTTCTTCAAATGCTGTGTTACCTGTTACCAAGGATATCAAGCCGTTACATGACTGTATATTTCCGCAAGAGGAAATGTCTGTCATGGAGCACAATAACTGGTTTGATTATCTAGCACTAAGGAGGAAAAAAAAAAAAAAAAAAAAGAGATATTTGAGTGCTCTATTGTTAATGTTGATTGCTAATTGTTATAGCTAAGATCTTGCTTTGTGTTGAATTTCTTAATTTTTTTATTCAGGTTCCATTTTTTGGTCCACTCTTTGATGGTGCTATTGTGAATGGAAAAATTCTTCCTATTATGGTTCGTGCAACAGCTATAAATGCAAGCCGTGCATTGAAATCATTAATCCCATTATACCAAAACTTGTATCCTTTCACTCAAATAGTTTCCCAGGCATATACATTCCCTTGCAGTTCTACAGATATGATCTTCATGTTTTCTGTCATCTTACATTTTTGTTGGATTATTTGAAATTTTTATTTTAATGGTGATGGTGCTTTTAGGAAACTTAAACCCATAGAAGAGTATGCAGATGAAGACCAGCTTTTTTTTTAATTAAGTGAAGAATAGATTCAGTGCTGAGAAATTGCATGTTTCTAATGTTTTATAGCATGTACTTATCACTTCTTGTTAAAATTATTTTAGTGACCATTTTGGGGGTAGACTTTCTAAAATAGCAATGTCATAGTGTTAATAATCTTTCTTTCTTTAAAGATATTAAGATACTTAAATATAAGGAAGAAATTCTTCACCATGAGGGTGGTGAGGCACTGGAACAGGTTGCCCAGAAAAGCTCTGGATGCCCCATCCCTGGAAGTGTTTGAGGCCAGGTTGGATGGGGCTTTGAGCAGCCTGGTCTAGCGGAAGGTGTCCCTGCCCATGGCTGGGGGGTTGGAACTAGATCATCTTTAAGGTCCCTTGCAACCCAAATCATTCTATGATTCTATGACTTACCCAGAATTTATGTGACTTAGTTTTGTTTTCTACTTCCAAGAAGGTTATGAATGCTGTTTTCCTTCAAGATGAGAAATTTGTTACGTTTTTGTCATACAGATTTAGTTACTCAGCTCGGAATACAAAGTTGTTGTCAAAATGATGGTAGTGTCTTTTTTAAAGATGTCAGAAAAGGTTATCTTTTTTGGTGGGTTTGGTTTTGGTTGGTTTTTTTTTTTGGAACTGAAATTGTAGTTTTTTGAAAGGGCTACTCTTTGAAGAATAGCTTTACCAACCAGAAATTAAAAAAAACTAAGGTAAGTCAGTCACTTATACCTCTCCCCTTCATAAGACTGAGTTCTGTTATATACCTGTTTGTTAAATCAACAAGAACATACTGGTTTTTAATTTCATAAATTGAAAGATAAGTTTAAACTTTGATCCAAAAGAAATTCTGGACTTGATTTCCCCTCAAGCTGTAGATGTTTATATTTGTCATGTGATAGATTGTTGCTAAAATACTCTGTTTTTAATAAGGCTGACTGTTAAAGAGTTTTGGATTAGATATGATGAAGTGGGTTTACAGATGAATGATAGATGGTGTTTGATGTGAGCACATTAAATGACATTTGTGCCATTTCTGTAGATGACAGATGTTGATTCATTGTATTTTTATGTTTGGAAAGGTCCGATCTTTTTGTCATGACTCAAGTGGCTTAATCAAAGATTTTAAAGTGTATTATCATCATTATACCATGAAAAGTAATGGCTTATAGCATTATATTGATGTATAGTGATGAGCAATTGGAAAACAATTTACTTTGAAATAGCAAACTTTCAGTACCAAAAAAATGCACAAACTTGTATGTTTAAACTTCTTTACAGAATATGGAAGTTGTATTAATTTCCTTGGACATAGCTTGCCAGCTCAATGTCTAGGAATTGGCCAGTTCCTAAGAACTGCATATTGCATATTCACTTTTCGTTCAGTTCTCCAAATTGTACTTTTTCCATGCATGAAAGCACTGTATGTCATTTATGACATAATGTGGCCTCCATTAAATGTTGATATTTGTCTCGTAATATGGTTAGCATAACTGGAAGGCATTACATATATTAAATATTAGATAGTATTGGTTGGTGGGTTTCATATCGTCACTTGGTAAGCTTATGAAGCACCAATTGATTGGGCACTGCGGTTAAAGGGCAGCTTTGTTAAATAGTTGATGGAATGCTTTTTCCATCTGACTTAGAATATCTTATATCCAGTGTATTTTTTATATTTTTTTTTTTTATTTGTGTAATACTTTAAAAATTAAAATGGGGATGTGGGCAGTTCTTTAAAAGCTGTTTGCTTGGCATGAAATTAGAAAAAACACTACAAACTTCCCTGGCCTGAATTAGGCTATGATGGAGTCAATTGTGTCAGTGGAGAACAGCAAAAAAATGTTAAACTTCAAAGTCTGGCCTAGTTCTCAGTGGTTTAAAAAACTCTTGTTTAAAAACATCATAGACATGCTCTTGGTGTTGAACCCATGGCCAGATTTGAGGTCAAGAAGGAATTTCCCTCATACAAGAATGGCAAAGACTAGTGGGTGTTTCCTGTAACATGGCTATGGTCTGTTAACTAGGAATATTTGAAAATTGAATCTAATTATGTTCCTGCAATGGCAGGGAACTAAAGACATCAAGGATTGTCTTTAGTGTCTCGCACTTTTTTCCTCTGGTGTATTGTAGCTATGGCTGTAGCAGTTCACTACTGGCTTTTAAGTTTGTTGTGGACTGAAGGGCATGGGGGCAGGAGTATTTTATGGTCTGTGGTTAAATAGCTTTTCTGGACACTCCTCCAGACCCAATGTCATTTGCACAAGACAGGACTCATCGGTCGAGGTGGTCTTTCCCTGTGTTGGAGTGTTACTGGAGCAAAGAAAAAGAGACCTCAGAGTGGTGAAAGCAATACATTTGAAGAGGGAGGAAAAAAGGAACAGGAAAGCTATATTTTAGAAGGTACACCAAAGGCAGAGACCCATCTGGAAAAGTGAAGCTGATAATCAAGGCTTGCCACATGTCCAGGACCATAATGGTATCAGTGAAAGTGAATTCTGAAATGATCTGCCCGAAATTAATTTTTGTGTACTTACTTATGAGTATCTAATATACTGGAGCAATGTTAGTTTATTAGGAAATTTGATGATGATTAATAGAAATTCAGTTGAATGTGGATCTTGAGGGAACAAGAATACTTGAGACTTCTGTCAAACAGAACACATTTCAAGCCCTACACTTCTGTATTAGCTCTCCTTTTACCATAGTAGACCAGCAGAAATAGTTAATTTCAAAGCCAGCATCAGTGTATGGATGTCTCTGTGCCTGCAGGTGTGTGGTTTATTTCTCTGTGCTGTGTAAGACTTGGTTGGGTACCTTTTGATTCAGTGTGGAGTTGATGATATACATGTAGGTCTGTGCTTATCTATTTTTGAGGAATATTTACAGTGTCACATTGTAGATTTTTGTGGTGATAGATCACGGTAAACTCTTAATTAAGCTAGGATTGTGTTGATTTGCTTGTGTATGGGATCTGAAGAAAGTGGCACTCAGTTTGACCCTCCTACTTCCAAGGAGGGCTTATCCATCCTCCAAGTTAGTGCATTTTCTAAGTGCAGACCTGACTGAAAAAATCAACTGTCATTTGTAATCAGCAGGGATATTCAGTCCTCTTCATGTAACCTGATTGCAACTTTTTCCTTATTGCGCTAGTCTGTTAATCACGATGTGGCAATGGGTAGTACGTGTGAATAGCATAATAATGGTTGCATGGATACAGGAAATTCTGCTCATCTCCCTTTTATAGTCTGCCCCAACTTTGAGCGTGTATTGTACTGTCTGAAGTAGCTTTCTGAGATTGACATATTCTGTCAATCACCTTCCTCTTTCTGACATTATTTTGATACTTCTGGTAGCAAACTTAGAGAGCAGAACACTTCAGAGATTTTATTTTCTTAATGATTTTTAAAGGTTTCATCTGCTCTGTGGTTTTATTCTTTGCTCAGAATACTCTAATGATATGTTTCCATATTGTACTATTTTAAGACTAAAAATTTACTAAATTTATCAGCAAACATCAGTCGCACATGGCAGGTATCCTGCTTTAACTCGATACTTGACATATTCATTGCTGCAGCTGTGTGAAGAGAATATTGCTGGTTTGGGTGGAGTTTCTGCATTGATTTGTGGAATTTGCTTTAGTTTCCCTTTCAAGGAGTCTGTAGTCCCTCACTGTCTTTTGGTGGCCTGGCTTTCTTGTCACAGTACCACCTCACCGACAGGCAGCATACATGCACACAGTAGCAGGTGACACACATAAAATAATTGTATTGACTTGCTAATGAAGCAGCAGTACTCCCTTCTCCATCTCATAGCTGATGTGTTTCTTCTTCTCACTGCATTTGTTGATGTCTCAAGAAGTACATGCTTAGCTCCTGAATGCATTCCAGCTGCACATATGCTAGGAGAACTTCTAAGACTCATAACTGCAGGTGTAATATGGGACTGAAGGTTGAGAACAATCGGTTTCACTGTGACGCAGAATAAGGAGGCCAATATTTAGGGGATTGTTAAATACTCTTTGTTTACTAAATTGCATTGAAATACCTGATAGGGATAGTTTTATTCATGCCTTGCATCTCAAAGAAGGCACTTTGTTACATTCTGAATTCAGAATCTACCATATGTAGGAAATGGATCAATACTAAATATCTTGAAAAATAGAAAGAGTGGCTTCATATAAATTTTTACGTGAACTTCCCAAGTAAACAACAGATGTTAGCCAGGTGCCAAGAGGTACACCAAGATAATGTTCTTTACTTGACGTAGTAGGCACCTGCAGTGCTCCAACTTGTCAAAATTGTTACAGCAAAACAGGAAAAATACTAAATACCTTGTGGGAGTGAAATTCCAATTGTGAAACAACTACTGTTACTTTTTGTACATTGTACGCAAATTTTGGAGTGTTAATAATTAGTCCAAGCTGTCTGCACTTCAGATAGTGCAATTCAGACACCATGCTTTCTGTCTTATGTAGTATTCCCCTCCCAAAGGATGCTATCTGCTGTGTAGCTAGACACACAGTAAGAAATCCTATTTAGCATCTTTTAAATCTGAAATTTGTTGAAATTTTAGAACACCTGGAATATAGATAACTGTTTCATCATAGCATAATTTTCACTTCTGTATAATAATCTACAAAGTCTTTGACCTAATGCCGAGAATTGGCATTTCATTTTTTTTAATTTCTTTTTTTTGGTCATATGAAACAGATGAAATTAAATAGCAAAAATGTAATCCTGTTTTAATTTTTCCATCTACAAAATATTATAGAATAAAACTTAACCTAAAAGATTGGATAAATTAATCTTTTTTTATCAAAACTGGA